CATTGTGCTCACAATCGGAAAGGGTAAGAGCAGCGCCTCCCTTTCAAGGCGTGTTTAGGAGCGAAGTCGTAATTCTAACGCCTTCCAAAGTATGCCTTCGGAGGCAGAAGCCGGCCGTTTATGCAGCAGTTAAACGGTCCTAGCCAGGGAGCGTGGCTTTCCTTTCTCCTCCACCCAACTGCTGTGCGCCCGATACAATCGTGTGTCTCTCAGCTTGTTGAGCAATTCTGCTTCCCACGTAGGCATGGTGAGCTGGCAGCAGCTCTTGAGGAGGAGGAGGCGGGGAGGGGTGCGGTCTGAAGGAGCACAAGAGCTTTTTATCGACGCGGCCGCCTTGGCCCGCCGCAGCCCCTTCCGCTTGTGGGGCCTGCTGTGCCTTTAAGAGAGAACCGGTCCCTCCCCCCCTCCCTCCCCCCATCTATTTTGGCTCGGCGCTGTTTTCATTTCCGCCTTCCTGTTCCGCGTGTGGTGCCAGGAAATTCCCCGCTTCCGCACTGGCCCGGCAGGAGGCGGAGCGGGGGCCGCGTAGCTGGTGTGGAATGCAGCCGGAGGGGGTTGGGCCGGGCCGGGCCGCGGCGGGCGCAGGCACCAGCATGTCTTTCGCTTGCTCGCTCCACCACCCAGAAGGCCTCGGGAGGCAGGGCTGGGCTGCCTTACTGCGGCCGCCCTGACCTACATTCCCCGGTTTCGAAGATCGCTGTGGGCCCTGGAAGGAAGTGCGGCAGCTGAACTAAGACCCCTGTTTTAGTACGACGCTGGGCGTCGCGTTGAAAGCAGGTCACTAGTAGGGATGCCAGCCTCCAGGTGGGACCTAGGGATCCCCCGGAATTACAGCTCATCATCTTCAGGCGACAGAGATTACTTCACCTGGAGAAAATGGGTGCTTTGGAGGGTGGACTGTATGGCATTGTACCCCACTGAGGTCCCTGTATCCCCCAGGCTTCATCCCCAAATCTCCCAAAAGTTTCCCAACCTGGATCTGGCAACCCTACCTCTCCTGTGGCCAGGGGGGACCTGGCAACACTAGGCAGCAGCCCAATTTGAAGGGGACAATGTCGTTAAATTCCTGCCCACCTAGGCCCCAAGGGGATATACTAACTTGGTAGCTATGGGGTCTAACCCAGAAGCCCTGCACCTTAATTTCATATCCCTGGGCCCTGATTACTCCGTGGCAAAGGAAGCGCACTCTGTGCATTCTCAGACAGTGTTCTTGATTGGAATCCACACCTTCCTAAATTGGTACCCAGACATTATAGGAGCTGCTCCTTCAAAGCCTAGTACTACTGCTCTGCTCTGGTAAAGTGGGGCTCAGTCAAAGTCCTGACTGTAGTCTTCCAAATGAAGGTGGGAAGAAAGGGAGAGAAGTGTCTGTTTAGAATTACCAAAGGGTCCTCTGGCTGCGTTTCAGGGAGCAGAGTAGGGCTCACAAAATTACGGGAACAAGGAGACGCCTAGGCCACAACTGCTGAGATGAGTCACTCAAGATTAATGCCTTTCTTTCTCCCAAGGGGAGATAGCTGAGCAGTACAGCCAGTTTGATGGCGCTGTGGTGCAAGTGGGCAGACCTTTGCCCTGCAGGCCGTGTTGAATAAGCCAGTGTTCTCTTCGCCTACACTGCTGCAGCAGCTTTGAGAATTGCTTCTTCTGCACAGGAACTGGAAAAGAATAGAGCAGCGTGGTGGAATAGATACTTGCTAGGATTGCCAAGTTCCAGGTGGGCCTGGAGAGCTCCCAGAATTACAACTGATCTCTGGGTTACATAGATCAGTTCCTCTGAAGAAAATGGCTGCTTTGGAGGGTGGGCTATATGGCAGTCTACCCAGCTGGGGTTCCTACCCTCACCAGGTTTCACCCCCAGAGCTCAGGAATTTCTCAACCCAGTACTGGCAGCCCTACTTAGCAGACCCAGAAGATGCATCTCTTTGAGGTAAATAGCCTCTTTATCTTTCTGCTTCGGGGGGGGGGTGCAGTTGGCATGAGGCCCTGGTTAGGCTGCCACCACCCCACTTCTTAATCCTACCAAGACTGTCACACAGCAGTGGCAGACTACCAGGAAGGGTGATTCTGGCTGCAGAGGAAGAAAAGGGGAAGTGGCTGCTTGAGGCCAGGGGAAAACAGCTACTCTTTTTTTGTGCAGGAAGGAAGGAAGGCAGGCAGCCCCACCCAGTAAGTGCTGCTGATAGAATGGACAATGAAAATAGGGCTGCCAAGTGGGGGTGGGGGGGCTGCCAAGTGGGGGCAGGTAAACCCCCGCT